TCTTGCAACTGTATTAGGAGTCAATAGAGAAGGATCCTTGGAGTCGTTGATTTGCATTGGTGGAATCAGTGTCCATCGTGATTGACACTGTATCTACATTGCGAGATGCCATAATTAATTATTGTAATTTTTTTGGGTACCCCCTTACTCATTTACATAGGGGGAGCAGATAATTCCAATAATTTTCAATGTTTCAATTTAAAGTGATACTAAAACCCTCCACAGTACAATCAGTCTGTATATGCAGTAAAGCATGCTTGTTATACTCACTGTGGAACCTAAGGGGTTAATCCCCTCTATTGTGCAAAAATGTTCGCAGTGACAGATGTGAGCGGTGCCCTTCTAGAAGCTCACATTAGAGATTTGGAGGAGTAGGTTGCAACACTGGGCAGAACAGACAAACTTCAAAGGGATCTTCTGCTCACTGAGTAGGTGGTTAATGGAGTTGATTTGGAGGGGTAAGTCAGGATTATCAGGTAGGAAGATGGGTCACCATAGTTAGAGGGGGTGGTAGGGGCTCACAGAAAAGGAAGGCTAGCCCTGGGTTTGAGCACCAAAACAGATTTGCCAAGTTGGGTGAAGAGGTGGGCATGGCAAGCTCAGAGTTTGCAGCCCTAGATATCACTGCTATCCCTCACAGCTTGGAGAGCAGCCCATGTAGTGCAGGTGGTGAGGGTAGTGCAGGAAGGTCTAGACAGTTGGCGGTAGTAAGGGATTCTATAATCAGAAGAACTGATAGAATAATTTGTCGCTAGGATAGCCTCAACCGAATGGTTTGCTGTTTCCCTGGTGCCAGGGTTTAGCATGTGGTGGACCAGGTTGATAAATTACTGGAAGGGGCTGGGCATGACTCATCTCTCTTGATCCATGTTTGAACCAATGACAGAATACATGGAAGGTGGAGCTCCTTAAAAATAAATTTGAAGAACTAGGCTGCAAATTGAAGGGAAGGACCTCCAGTGTGATATATTTTCTGAAATATTGCCTGTGCCATGCGCAAGGCAGGAAAGACAGGGGGAGATTGCATGGCTAAAGATCTGGTGTAAGGGAAGGATTTGGGTTTTCTAGAGCACTGGGCTGACTTTTCATTGGGGTATAATCTATATGCTAGAGATGGTTTTCACCTAAATGGAAGGGGATCTGCTGTGCTGGGGGAGGCGTTTATGAAATGGCTGGAGGAGTATTTAAACTAGGATCGAGGTGGGAGGGAGAATTCTAATTATAATGGGGCAGACAGGTCAGGCAGGGGTCAGCCCCTATTGGTGGGTGGAATGGAGAAAGATGAGGGGAGGGCTATGGCAGATAAGAAGGTTCCCATGTTACAACCATTGGAATTGGTACTAATTGTACAAAAAAAGTGTTTGTTCACCAATGCCAGAAGTCTGCCAAACAAAATAGATGAGTTGGAAGCTTTGGTGCAGGAAGAGAACTATAATTGAATTGGTATTGCTGAATCTTGGCTTCATTCTTCACATGACTGGGCCATTAATATTCCTGGCTATGTTCTCTTTTGGAGAGACAGGGTAAAAAGGAAAGGTGGTGTTGTCTGTCTATGTGAGAAGCGATCTCAGAGCGAGTGTGAAAGAGGACATAGTTGATGAAGAATGCGATGAGGCTGAAGCGATATGGGTGGAACTGCACATGGGGGTGCGTACTACAAAGGTAATAATTGGAGTTTGTTATAGGCCTCCCATTGTTAATGAGGAGGTGGAGACTCAGCTTCTTGCACAGATGGAAAGAGCTGGGACAGTGATAAGCATGGGGGATTTTAACTACCCAGAAAATTGACTGGAGTAATGGTACTGCAGGAACAGTTAAAGGGCAAATATTTATAAACCTACTACAGGACAATTTTATGGTACAGTTAATAGAGGCCCCAACAAGGAATGATGCTCTGCTGGACCTGGTAATCTCAAACCATGCAGAGCTTATTACTGATTTTCATATAAAAGAACATCTGGGTAGCAGTGACCATAAAACATCATTTCATTTAATGTTAGCTGCAAACAAGAAACACATACGGGAAAAAAAATGAAAAAAACTCAACTTAAAGAGAGCAAATTTTCCAATGATGAGGACCTCTCTCCAAGACTTAGACTGGGAGGGAATATTTGCATCTATGAAGGCTGAACAGAAATGGGAGTTCTTCAAAACCACTGTGTGTGAATACACTGCTAAATAGTTTCCCATGGGCAACAAGTTTAAAAGGCTAAAAAAAAATCCTGTGTAGCATACGGCCAAAGTTAACAAAAAGCTATAAATAAGAAAAAAGCTTTTAAAAAATATAAAAATTAAGGAACACCATCAGACTTTAAGTATTACAAAGAATGTAACAGAATATGTACAAAGACAATCAAGGGCACAAAAAATTAAAGACATTTTGCAAAAGATAGCCAGACAAACCCCCAAAAATTCTTCAAACCTATTAATAGTAAAAAGGTTTGGTCTGACCATGTAGGCCCTTTACAAAATAATGAGAAGGCAAATTTATTAAATACTTTCTTCAGCTCAGTGTATGCAAAGGAGCATGGGGGAGCTCTTGTCCATAATGGGAATGGTATTGACAGCTTCAGATGATCCACATTAGCTTACAATTGATATGATCCAGAAATATTTAGACAGAATAAAGGTGAATAAAGCACCTGGACTGGATGGCATACACCCACAGGTCCTTAAAGCGATATTAATGGTTCTTTTTTTTTTTTATTGGAAAATAACGTGTTATACATACAGTGCCTTGAAAAAATATTCATGCCCCTTGAAATTTCCACATTTTGTCATGTTACAACCAAAAACATAAATGTATTTTATTGGAATTTGGTGTGATAGACCAACACAAAGTGGTACATAATTGTGAAATGGAAGGAAGCAAAATTAAAAAAATAAAAAATTATATGAGAAGTATGGCGTGCATTTGTATTCAGCCCCCTTTACTCTGATATCCCTAACTAAAATCTAGTGGAACCAATTGCCTTCAGAAGTCACTTAATTATTAGAGTCCACCTGTGTGTAATGTAATCTCAGCATAAATCCAGCTGTTCTCTGAAGCCCTCAGAGGTTTGTTAGAGAACATTAGTGAACAAGCAGCATCATGAAGGCCAAGGAACACACCAGACAGGTCAGGGATAAAGTTGTGGAGAAGTTAGGTTATAAAAAAATCTCCCAAGCTTTGAACATCTCACAGAGCACTGTTCAATCCATCATCCAAAAATGGAAAGAGTATGGCACAACTGCAAACCTACCAAGACATGGCTGTCCACCTAAACTGACAGGGACAAGGAGAGCATTCATAAGAGAAGCAGCCAAGAGGCCCATGGGAACTCTGGAGGAGCTGCAGAGATCCACAGCTCAGGGGGGAGAATCTGTCCACAGCACAACTATTAGTCGTCCACAAATCTGGCCTTTATGGAAGAGTGGCAAGAAGAAAGCCATTGTTGAAAGAAAGCCATAAGAAGTCGTGTTTGCAGTTTGCGAGAAGCCATGTGGGGGACACAGCAAACATGTGGAAGAAGGGGCTCTGGTCAGAGGAGACCAAAATGGAACTTTTTGGCCTAAAAGCAAAACTCAGTGTGACAGAAAACTAATACTGCACATCACCCAGAACACACCATCCCCACCGTGAAACATGGTGGTGGCAGCATCATGTTGTGGGGACGCTTTTCTTCGGCAGGGACAGGGAAGCTGGTCAGAGGTGATAGGAAGATGGATGGAGCCAAACACAAGGCAATCTTAGAAGAAAACCTGTTAGAGTCTGCAAAGACTTGAGACCGGGGCAGAGGTGCCCCTTCCAGTAGGACAACGACCCAAAATATCCAGCCAGAGCTACAATGGAATGGTTTAGATCAAAGCATTTTCATGTGTTAGAGTCATAGTCCAGACCCAAATCCAATAGAGAATCTGTGGCTGGATTTGAAAATTGCTGTTCCCAGACGCTCTCCATCCAATCTGACAGAGCTTGAGCTATTTTGCAAAGAAGAATGGGCAAAAATATAATTCTCTAGATGTGCAAAGAGACATCCCCAAAAAGACTTGCAGTTGGAATTGCAGCGGAAGGGGTCGTCCTACAAAGTATTGGCTCCAGGGAGCTGAATACAAATGCCGCCACACTTTTCACAGATTTGTCAAATTTTGAAAACCATTTATTATTTTCTTTCCACTTCACAATTATGTGCCACTTTGTGTCAGTCTATCACATGCAATCCCAATAAAATACGTTTATGTTTTTGGTTGCAACATGACAAATTGGGGAACATTCCAAGGGGTATGAATACTTTTTCAAGGCACTGTACCTGTGTGCAGTGGTTTTTTGCAGAGAGCAGCCTGGATCCTCCTCTTCTCGGGTCACCGATTGGCGCTCCTAGCTTCTCCTTTCTGTACGGTGCCCCCATAGCGAGCAGCTTGCTATGGGGGCACCCAAGCAGGCTGTTCCCAAGCTGCTGTTCTGTGTCCATTCACACATGGAGCTGTGGCATGGCCCCGCCCCCTTTATCCTCCAGTCACAGCTGGCTGCAATTGACAGCAGCGGGAGCCAATGGTCCTACTTCCTGTCTCAGCCAATGAGGAGGCAGAGACCCGGGACAGCCGAGGCAGTTGTGCACATTGATGGATTGCGATGGGGCTCAGGTAAGCATTGAGGGGACTGGGGGGGGGGGGGGGTGGTGGCTGCACAGCACAGCATAGATATGCATATGATATGCATAGAATGCATGAAGATAAAAAACCTTGAGCCTTTACAAACACTTTAAAGAATTGAGCTCTGTCATTTCAAAGCCATTGTTTCTAATATTTAGAGACCTTTAATGACTGGCATAGTACCACTGGATTGGCGTAAGGCCAATGTGGTGACTATATTTAAAAAGGGATCAAAGTCTTTACCAACAGCATGGATTCATGAAAGACAGAAGTTGTCAAACAAATCTGATTTCTTTTTATGAAGAGGTGAGCAAAACCTTAGACAGAGGGGTGGTGGTGGACGTGGTATACTTGGACAGAGGGGTGGCAGTGGACGTGGTATACTTGGACAGAGGGGTGGCAGTGGACGTGGTATACTTGGACAGAGGGGTGGCGGTGGACGTGGTATACTTGGACAGAGGGGTGGCAGTGGACGTGGTATACTTGGACAGAGGTGGTGGCACTGGACGTGGTATACTTGGACAGAGGGGTGGCAGTGGACGTGGTATACTTGGACAGAGGGGTGGCGGTGGACGTGGTATACTTGGACAGAGGGTGGCAGTGGACGTGGTTATACTTGGACAGAGGGGTGGCACTGGACGTGGATACTTGGACAGAGGGGGGGGCAGTGGCGGTGGACGTGGTATACTTGGACAGAGGGGTGGCAGTGGGACGTGGTATACTTGGACAGAGGGGTGGGTTTGCACTGGACGTGGTATACTTGGACAGAGGGGTGGCAGTGGACGTGGTATACTTGGACAGAGGGTGGCACTGGACGTGGTATACTTGGACAGAGGGGTGGCTTCAGAGAGTAGTGGTTTATGATTCATACTCTGAATGGTCTGGGGTAATCAGTGGTGTACCTCAAGGTTCAGTGTTGGGACCCTTACTTTTTAATAATATTTATAAATGATATAGGGTCTGAGATTACAGATCCCATTTCAGTCTTTGCAGATGACACCAAAGCTGTGCAGTGGAATAACGTCCTTACAGGATGTCTCCAACTTACAAGCCGACCTCAATGCTCTGTGTAATTGGGCAACTATGGGGCCAGCGAGGTTTAATGTTAATAAATGTAAGGTTCTGCACTTGGGGGCTAAGAATATGCATGCATCATACATACTATAAGGGTTACAACCTGGGGGGGGTCAATGGTGGGAAAAGGATCTGGGGGAATCAATGGTGAAGGATCTGGGGGGGGGGTCAATGGTGGAGAAGGATCTGGGAGCTCTGGTAGATCACAAGCTTAATAATGGCATGCAATGCCAAGCTGCGGTTTATAAAGCGAGCAAAAAATCCTCTATTGTATTAGGAGAGGTATTGACTCCAGAGAGAGAGATATCATTTCCCCAGGTACAAATCAAGTTAGTAAGACCTCACCTGGAACATATGCAGTTCAGTTTTCGGCACCAATTCACAAAAAGAACATTGGGGAACTGGAGAAAGTACAGAGAAGGGCAACCAAACTGATAAGAGGCATGGAGGAGCTCAGCTTGTGAGGAAAGATTAGAGGAACTGAATTTATTCTCTCTTGGGAAGAGGAGATTAAGGGGAGATATGATCTCCATGTATAAACATAAGGGGGGATATGATCTCCATGTATAATACATACAGGGGGATATGATCTCCATGTATAATACATAAGGGGGAATATGATCTCCAGGTATAATACATAAGGGGGGATAGGATCTCCATGTATAAATACATAAGGGGGGATATGGTCTCCATGTATAATACATAAGGGGGATATGATCTCCATGTATAATACATAAGGGGGGCATATGATCTCCATGTATAATACATAAGGGGGGATATGATCTCCATGTATATTACATAAGGGGATATGATCTCCATTGTATAATACATAAGGGGGGATATGATTCTCCATGTATAATACATAAGGGGGGGATATGATCTCCATGTATAAATACATCAGTGGTTCATATAGTGAACTCGGTGTAGAGTTATTACACCTGAGGTCTCACAGAGGACAAGGGGGCGCTCTTTACATCTGGAGGAAAAGAAATTTAATCTCCAAACACGGAAAGGTTTCTTCACAGTGAGAGCTGTGAAAATGTGGAACAGATTCCCTCAAGAGTTGGTTGTGGCCAGCTCAGTGGATTGCAGTAGGAAAGTCCCTGGATTCTTTCTTGGATACACAGAATATAACTGGATATAACATTTATAGGGAAAGTAGATCCAGGAATATCCGATTGCCTCTCGGGGGATCAGGAAGGAATTTTTTCCCCTGCAGGAGAAAATTGGATCATGCGTTGATGAATTTTTTGCCTTCCTCTGGGTCAACTGTGGGTGTTAGGATTATAAAAATGAGTTTTTTCCCCTCTTTTATAGTTGAACTGGATGGACTTTTATTTTCTTTCAGCCAAACTATCTATGTAACTATGTGACTATGCATCAGTGGGGTTAGTGTTTTCTCATGAAGATTCCGGTAAACTTTCAAAAAATGTGAATCCTTTGAGCCAAAGTGGAACATTTTTCTCCTTGTTCTCAATAAAGATTTATTTTCACCTTGTTCTCAACATTTGTTTAAAAGTATCTATTAGAACGCAGATGGAGACTGCTAGTCTGGCACGGTGAAACGCCATACCACAGCCTGATAGAGGGGAGAATCGGGTTTAGCACCTTACCTGTGTGGAATTGTATGCAGAAGAGGACCCTGCGCTTCCCATGACCAACCTGATGACATCTAAAATAAGGAAATATCCAAAAAATAACAAAACCTGATGGGGGGCGCTCTTTTCCAACTCAGCCACATCTTGTCAATGTGGCTGAATGATAATCAGACTGCCTGGCACTGGTAAATTGAATAGATTTTTAAAAACGTCACTCTTCTGGCCTAAAGAGGGAGCACCCATGTTCCGAACGCACCCCACCCTCCATGACCCTCGTGACTGGAAGTGACGTCGGGCTGCTCCATCCTGGGGTATCCGTGACAGCAGGAAACACTGGGAACCACCAGCGCCCCCTAGACATCGGCTCCACATCCAGGACCCACCGGCTTGCACTCTGGACCACAGCGGGATGAATGTTACAAGGACAAAGCGTTTTCTTGTTATCCATCTAGTGAGTTGCCAATTATTCTTTTAATGCAAATAAATGTTCCAACTTGCTGTACTTAGATGGCGCTGCCCCTCTTTTCTCCTCATCTTTTCACAGACCCCCTATTGACTTCAATGCAAAAATCCCAGAATGCCAGCCACATTAATTAAATACATTTTTTTTTTTTTTAAATGACAAAACTGTTGGGTTTCAATTTTTGGCCAAGTGCATTCTTGAGTTTTCAGTCTCAGCACTGGAATTTTCATTTCGGTGCACCACTATGCAGAAGACGATAACTGAGAATGTTACATGAGGCCAGTAAAGATCAATGCTATTACCCTAAACAGTGTTCCCACTACAGACTGATGAGGCCTGTGAGCTGCACATACCAAGGGGGCAACATGCAGCCCTCGGACCACAGGTTGGGCACCAGGGCACTAAAGTGATCATATTTTCCCACAAGGCTTTCCTGCACTGGGGAGGGGGTCTGCTTCTGAACCTGCATGCTTATGCAATGTGAGAGTCTCTGGGGTTGATTTACTTAAACTTGAGAGTGGAAAATCTGGTAGCCATGCGCATGGTAGCCAATCAGCCTCTAATTTCAGCTTGTTCAATGAAGCTTTGACAAAAAAACAAAAAACAGGAAGCTGATTGGTTTCTATGCAGAGCTGCCCCCCCCACTGTGACTTTAATTAAAAATTGCATCCCGTAGACTGTAGAAAAATGTAAAACTGTCAATGCAAAAATTGTGTCCCATGGACTTCAATGCAAAAATTGTGTCCCATAAACAAAAACAGTGCCTATTGACTTCAATGTAAAATCGCTGAAATGCCAGCCAGATTAATTAAATAATATTTTAAATTACAAAACTGTTGGGTTTAAATTTTTGGCCAAGTGCATCCTTGAGTTTTCAGTTTCTGCACTGGAATTTTTCATTTCGTGCACCACTATGCAGAAGACGATACGAAACTGAGAATGTTACATGAGGTCAGTAAAGATCAATGCTATTACCCTAAAAAGTGTTCCCACTACAGACGGATGAGGCCTGAGGGCTGCACATATCAAGGGGCCCTTGCACATGGTAGCCAATCAGCCTCTAATTTCAGCTTGTTCAATTAAGCTTTGACCAAAAAAAAAAAACAAAAAAAAAAAAAAAAAAAACAAATACAAAAAAAAAAAAAACAAAAAAACAGGAAGCTGATTAGTTTCTATGCAGAGCTTCACCAGATTTTGCACCCTCCAATTTTAGTAAATGTCCCCCTCTGTGTTTGTGTTTAGACATTAAAGAAAAGATGGTTTGGTGGTTAGATCATCTTCAGATGTGAAACATATGAGCAGCCTTTGCCTTTAATTATTATACAGAAAGAAAAATACCAGAACCCTTTTTTTTTGTAGAAACAAGTCAGCTTCATTTAAATAAGACACTATATGACTTAAAAAGTTGAATAAATAGAGTTTGAGGTGAAAGTTAAGAAAATCATAAATCATGAATATGATAAAAAATAGAGAACATAGGCGGAAGTCCAGGGTGCAACTTATGGAAAAGTTGCTAGAGAAGGCAGCTGGAGCACACCGTTGCGATGTCACGCTACTCCGACTTAGTCATAAGGGACTGTTTTGCGCTTCTTTGCTGGTTCCTCTGGTATGAGTTGAGTGTAGCTGTTGAGAAAGAGTGCCGAATTACGCTGCATGACCGCATTGTGATGCTGAATCAAGTCGGGGTCCATGAAGCTCCTTTTATGGACAGGTGGCTCCCCATATCTGCTTGTCGAAGGTCGTGGGTGGTAACTGCTAGCAGACATCAACATCTTGTCTTGGGACTGGCTTGCCATTGATGTCGGGATGTTATTAATAATGGCGGGCATTTTATGCTGCGCTACCTCGGTGGTGATCGAATGGTTGATGCTGCTGCTGCGCATGTTGTTCGGCATGGCTTGCGCCATTGAGGGGGCCGTCAAAAGGTGTTGAGGAAGTCTTTCTACCAATCTCTTTTTGGTAATATACCCTACTTTCTTTTTCGATTCTGGAAGAGATGCCCGGATTTTCATCGTCGTCATCATCGCTCGAATTTTTTGGATTCCTATTTTGGTGGTGGAACGGACCACTCCGAGAAGGCAGGGTTATAGTTGACGTTGGGCGCCAAATAAAAAGGGGCATCTGGTGCCATCATGGCGCCAGGCCTAAAGCTCCTGTATTTTAGATAGGCGGTCACTGGATCTCTGTCTGGTGCATGTGGGGTGGCGTACATCCTTGGCTTTACTTGTCGAACATTTTTGAGATTTTCCACCGTCTCCATCTGGCGATCGGTGTACTCCAAATACTGGTTCCCTCTCGGGTCCATTTTCAGCTTGATGTCGCCCCATTGCAGGTTGTACTGTTCTTTCGTCCGAAGGGCAAAATGAATTCCGTTGTTGAAAAACACCAAGTTCAGCAAGCTCGTTGGGTTGTCCATCGACAGCGTACCACTCTTGTAGAGGTTTTCAATGTCGTCATCCGTCAAAGCCTCCTGTCTGATCGGCGGATTGCTCTCTGCTATCTTTTTCAAAAATTTTATTTTGGCATTGAGAGACTGCTTGGTCAACGGGAAGTCCTTGCTGTTCCCGTACACGATTGTATGCATATAGCTATGTTCTTTTAGGTACCGATCGATGCTCCCCACCATGCAGCGAAGGGTGTGCGGCTCGTACTCGTTGCCATCCTTCCTTTTCACCACGAGAAGGAATTTTGAGAGCAG